ACTCCAACAAATACTCTGGACCGACTCAAACGGAGATATCGCCACATATTAACTCACCACGGTCACATACGGTACTAGGTCAGCTCCGTTCCTCTCAATGCGTGTTCTTCATCAGCTCGTTGAGGATGAAGGATCGAACTATCCTCTCGCTGTGGAACCGCTCATGANGCTCATGAAAGGACGATATGTTGACGATATCTGCGGGGGTGCTGACTCAGATGAAGAGCTACTCAGGACCGCTCATCAGGTGACACAGCTCTGTCGGTCAGGAGGCTTTCCGCTAGCCAAATGGCACTCAAATAGCCCAGCTCTACTCACATCCCTTCAACCTGACAGCACCTCTCAAGAACAACGATTCATAGAGGACTCACTCACCAAAATTCTAGGGGTTTCTTGGCATCCCGGAACGGACACCTTCAAGTTCTCCGTCCCTCAGCCTGAGACCAGCTCAATAACGAAGAGAATCATTTTATCGGAAACGGCTCAACTCTTCGATCCACTGGCTTTCCTAGCGCCAGTGGTCATACGAGCGAAGATATTGCTCCAGGCTCTATCGATCGAGAAACTGGGATGGGATGAACCAGTTTCCCAGACAACTGCTCAACGATGGAGCCAATTCAGGGAGGAGCTCACACAGTTATCGGAGATCACCATACCTCGGTGGCTTGGACTGCTCACGGATTCCGTCGTCGAAGTACACGGTTTTTCCGACGCATCACAAGTGGCGATGTCAGCCGTGATCTATCTCAAGGTTCTCAACAAGGGAAAATCACAACTCACATTGGTTTGCTCAAAAACGAAGGTCGCACCGCTCAAACGGCTGACAATCCCACGACTAGAACTCACTGCGGCTCTCCTCCTGGCCAAACTGACTAAGTACGTCAAGGACCAACTCAATCTCACGAACGCCACCACCTATCTCTGGACCGACTCATCGGTCACGCTCACGTGGATCAGCTCACACTCCTCAAGATGGAAGGAGTTCATGAAAAATCGGGTGGCACTCATCCAGGAGCTCACCCAGCAGGCTCATTGGAGATTGGTACCGTGCAAGGAGAATCCTGCAGACTGTGCATCTCGAGGTCTATCTCATAAGCTCTGGTGGAAAGGGCCACCATGGCTTCATCAAGACTGCTCTTCATGGCCAACTCACGCTCTTGAAAAAGACCTCAGCGTAGACCTCGAGGAAAAGCCAGGAGTTCTCCTACATGTAAAAGCTCATCCAATCGCGCTCTGGAATCTCGTCGACAGATTCTCATCGTTCAACCGACTGCTCAGGGTCACAGCAATCTGTCGACGATTCATAGCTCGGCTCAGGAAAACCCCCAACTCTTCTCTTCGATACCCGCTCACTCTTGGTGATCTTGAAGAGGCTCGCATCCTCTGGATCAAACTCACGCAGGCAGCTCACTTCAAGGATCAACTCAGAGCGATCTCACGAGGGGAAAGGTTCAGCAAATCCCACCCCCTCACCAAGCTCACACCCTTCATCGATCGCCAAGGGGTATTGAGGATAGGAGGACGGCTCGAGTTTGCTCACATAGGCCCGGAGAGCCGGAACCAAGTGATTATTCCGAAGGAATCTCAACTGGCTGAGCTACCAGTACGCTCCTTCATCCTCAAGTGCGTTAACTGCACTCGCTAACGTGGAGTACGCGCTCAACAGCTCATGGGCCAGTTGCCACCAGCCAGACTCACTCCCGCTCAAGCCTTTCTCAACACTGGGATCGACTATGCCAGCCCAGTGTCTCTACGGTCCTGAAAAGGGCGGGGACACAAGTCGTACAAAGGCTGGTTGGCTATCTTTGTCTGCATGACCACCTCAGCGGTCCATCTCGAGGTCGTGTCAGACTA